AATGCTTTTTTTAGGAGAGGCTCTAATAGTTAGGAAAAAAATCTACGTATTGATTTGAATTAAAAGCCAAAGACCCAAACAATATAGTATATAATAAATTTAAATTATTTTTTCTGTATCCAAGAAAATAAGAAATAGAAAATATAGGTTCATTAATAGAAGAGGATGTTTATAGGTTAACACCCAGTCAAAAATGTTTAAAATATGATGGGTTGTAAGGCTGGAGGGAGCGGTGTCACCGAAACCGCACTTCCTCCCCAGTCACATAAGCGTCATGTCACTTTTTACTACTCAAGTGTGGTTTCTTGCCACATTTTTCATTTTTCTTTATTTTTTTGTTTTTTTTAATATTTTAATTTAATAAAACTTCTTTTTTTTTTTGAACTATTTTAATTTAATATAACTTCTATTTTAATAAATAAAAACATAATTCTTAATTACTTGAAAATTATAAAAAAAAAAACAGTACATTGCTTAAAAAAAAAAAAAAAAAAAAAAAAAAACCACACACATGACATTTAAATAATCCTAGATACTTAAAAAACATAAATAAAATAACTAAAGGAAACTACATAAAGTCGTTCTCCGAGAACTCGTCTTCGGGGTTATCCGGTGGATCCAAATTAAGGTTAATGTTTTGAACCCCGTAAATGTGTTGTACCAAGTCATTGCGAAGATTGTGAATGTTTCAGTGCAACGTATCTCTGCTCTCTTGTTTATATACTCTCCGCCATCAATTTCTATTGGCTGTGTCTTTGGTATGATTTTTTCCTCGTCAAACGCACATATCACTCTTCCTTCGTCTTCAATAATTATGTTATGCAATATAATATATGTATACATGATTTCTTGAAGTTTTTCCTCGCCCAAATAAGCTGTTGGTTTTTTCAATATGAACCACCGTTTCTTCAGAGCTTCAAAAACACGCTCAACATCCTTCCTAGCTCTTTCTTGAGCTCTCTTGAATTTCTTTCGTCTAGTACCATGTGGAGCTGAAAACGATTTAACAAACACAGCATACTCAGGATAGATTCCATCGACCAGATAATAACCATACTTATATGGCGTTCCACGCACTTGAAAAGAAGAATCTGGTGCGAATCCATCGTATATGTTGTTAAATATTTGTGAATGGTTAAGAACGTTGATATCGTTAATCGAACCAGGAGAACCAAAAAAAGCATGCCAAATCCACATATCTTGTGATGCAACTGCTTCAAGTATGACCGTTGGGTGACCATGATCACCTTGGGTAAATTGCCCATGATATGCTGTAAGGCAATTTTCCCATGCTCAATGGCGACAATCTAAGCTTCCTAGCATTCCAGGAAACCGATGCATACTAGCATGATGAGTTTGCAATTGCAGGATGTCATTACGTGTAGGCTTACGTAAATATTTTGGACCATAAAACTGAATCACTGTTTTGCAGAAAAAATGGAGACCGTCTCGTGCTATCCTAGCAGACATCCTAAAACGTTTGTCTAACGCATCAGGCGGAATGCCATATGCTAACTGACGAAGTGCGGCCGTGCATTTTTGTAACGGAGTGAAACCGAGTGTACCTCTAGCATCGTAGCGTTGTTGGAAAAAACTGCACTCCCTCGTTACATCTTCAACTATACGTTCGAATAAACCTTTGAGCATTCTGAAGCGCCTACGAAAATAATACCCTTGGTAAGTGGCATTCTCTGCAAAATAGTCTTGCATCAAACGTTGGTTGGCTTCTTCACGATTTCTGTAAATATATCTTCGTGTTCTCTGTTGAGAACTTGCAGTTGTGTTGTTACATACAACGTTGTATGTTTGTTCCGCCATTTGAACACACGCAATAACGGTATCAAAAATAGTCTGAAATTCTTCAGAAGATGAAGAAGATGATATTTTTGGAAGAGTGGTGATTTAAAAAAAAAAAAAAAAAAAAAAAATTGAGAGAGAGGAGATTGTTTTGTGAAAAAAAAAATTAAGTTGATATGTGTATATATAGGAAAGAAAAAGCAAAAGAAAAAAATAAGAAAAGAAAATTGCCAGAATATTGCATTCAACGGTCAAAAGATGACCAACCAATAAGAATTCACGGTCTTCAAGGGCCGCACCGCGGTCTTAACCGCAGGAAACCGCACCTTAGAGGCGGTGTTCCATGATGAAGTGGCAGCTAACCGCGGTTTGGGACCGCACCACACCGTGTAGCCTAATAAGGCAGTCTATATATAATTCTCATTTTTATTTGTTTTTTTGAAAAATTGTCTTGCAAACACAAAGTCAAAATAAGCTATCATTAGAAATAAATCTCATATATATATATATATATATGGAAAAGTGAATATACCCTTAAAGGTATATAAGCTTAAGTACCTAAACTTACCATAGTATATCGTTTTGTATTATATATTTAAATTGTAATTGTCTAATTGTTCTTATAATTCAACTTATAACTTGATTACTTCTAAGATCTTTATAAATTTCACATTTATCTTCCTTTTACATACTTTTCATTTTC